TGACCCATTTAACACAAAAAGGTTTCTGCAGATCCGATGTAAGAAGAACCAATACAGAAGATCTTTCATGCCTACAGCTATCAACACCTGTTTAAAGAAAAAAACGTATGAGTTACTGCAACATTTCATTTCCCCCCGGGATTAATAATGTATTTTGAATTGAATGTAATTTTATCTATTCCTGTAAGTAACTCTGACTTAACTGGAATACAACTTAAAACTAGGAGTATCTGTGGATATTTAATTCTTTAAATTTTGTGATTTTATATATATGAGAAAAAGTTAATTGTGTTTCTGGTACAACATATGAGATAAATAATCATGAAAGAGATATTCCTGAAGAAACAACCTTTTCTGGTTCCCAATGCAACTTAATAGTGATAGACTGTGTCAGACTACAGTTACTGTATGTTATAATGTTGAGCTGCATTTACTTGACTTTCTTATCAGTGATGCAAGATCAAAAATAAAAATCTAGTTGTTCAAGTTCTCTAACAAAAACCCTTATATTTCTTAAGCTAATGCATATGTCCATTATAGAAAGGTTAATAGAAAAAAAAGTATGTTCTAATTTTTTTGGTATCCATTCTTACCTGCTGGAAGAGGCTTAGCTAAACCGGTCTTTCAGGTTTGTTTAGTCCAACCGTTTTTTATATATCTCAAAGATCAAAACCAATATGTGCAACGCATATCTGTAAAACTGTGTAGTGTGTCTTGTTTGATCATACACTGCTGAATTACACACTGCACAAGCTGAATTTTAACTTAACTTTGCACATGTGTTTTTTTTTTTCTTTTTACATAAAATATCAATCTATGATATCCAAATCTATACGATATAAATATGGAAAAAACCTAACTTTTGGCCATTATATTAGATGTAATAAACTCTTCAATAGTAAGAAAAAAAATACAAACCTGTAATTATTTTGTTTTTCAGTTTCAAATTGCTTGACAAATAATCAGTGGAAGGAGTTTCCCATCAGGTAGGTCAACCATCTCATTTCCTTTAGTCTTGGGTGTGAATTGCAAGGGTGTTCTTAAAATATTTACAGTGAGGGAAACAAATATTTGAACAACCAGTAATTTTACAAGTTCTTCCTCTTACAAATCATGGAGGGGTCGGTTATTTTCCTCTTAGGTGCATGTCCGCTGTAAGGGACATAATCAAATTAAGAAAATCTGGAAATCACTATTTATAATTTTTCAATAATTCATTTGCATCTTGTTGTTAATGAGTATTTAAACACTTCTCATTCAAACAACAATTCTGTTCCCTATAGAACAGTTAATCTGCTTCTAAAAAGCAGCATGACCAGAGTTCATCAGTCCTTTTCCCAATCAAACACAGATCAAGGGTCAGACAGCAACGTCCAAGCCTTATTCTTATAAGAAGAACTTTTTGAAACCTGCTTTTTCCCCAACTAATGTCTCCCCCTGTAATACATCTCTGAACTTCATGGTAATGCCTCTCTTAATGGTGCTGCCACGGACTTAATTCCTTGTGGGTAAACAGACGACCATACACTGAGAACCCCAGTATTATGGTGCGTTCACACCACTAGCAAGTTCTGGGAGCCCCTCAGGTAGTTCACTGCTCTGCATTTCAGATACACAGTGTTTACACCCTGTACTGCATCATCAAATAGGTAGAGCTTCAGCTGCCTAAAGCTGAAACCCCAATGACGTGAGAAAATCTCAGCAAATACACTGAATGGTTAGTGCGTTAGAACAGGTTTGTGCATGTAAAAAGAGCAAGAAAAAGTGGCCACTTTGGTTCATCCAGATGCAGCTGTGATTCGGTCTGATTCGGAGGGACTACCTTGTAAATTTAACCCTGCAGAAGGCATCAATGCTGGGCAGAGGGCAGTGACAGACCGGGGTCTGTGCTGGAGGCAAGGGAGGATGATGAATAGTCCTTCTAGGACTAAATTAAAATGTCTTTTTTTAAAGCTACATAACACCCTCTTGAGAGCATTCCTAATTTGCTCCTTTATCAACATTATTTATGTCTGTATTCCCTTTTATGTGAAAAAAACATTTGCCTTTAATCAGCCCCTGATTGGCTGCTGTGTTGCGATATCACAAAAAAGTTAAGCTCGTTCAAGTTTAGTGATCACCGCTCTGCTCACTCCATATGGTGTTGCTGTTTGGCAACACCTCAGCTCTACCTAATAGCACGAGATAAGAGTGAGGCAGTGAATGCCCTCCCCGCTGGCCGCTTCCCCGCCCTTCCCTACGTGGTCTGTATAAGAATTCTATGTGAATCCACCGCCACACTCACTGCAGACACCTCTGACGGCATCATAACACTAATTTATAATTTTTTCGCTAAGATCTACTGGGTTTCCCTTGCTCCTCTGTTTAAGAAAGTCTTTAAGAATCCAGAGGACCAAACCACTCTCAGTATACCGCAACTCTGATGACTCAGCCCACACTCTTTAGAGAAGAGTGAGTGACCCTTTGCAAACTCCCAGCTCTCCTCTAGCAAATACTTCACAGGGTTCACTGATTCTTAAAGGGCTTAGTGGATCTCAGCATACAGCTGACAGGCATGTTAAGCAGTCACTAAAAAAAGCTATTTTCATATTATATCGAAAGTTTTTACATTGCTATGCAAGATGGATGCACATTTAGGACAGCTTGGTTTCATTAGTTACATTGAAAATAGATATTTTAGATAGGTGTCTATAGTAATCATCAATTAGCTGACTGAGTATGAAGTAAAATATTTTTGATTTTGCTTTTCCCTCTTTTCTGTATCCTACTCAGAACAGACCATGTCATCTGGAACCTTTCACAAAATCCTCAAACCCCTTCTGTTCACTACTTTTATTGTTGGATGCTTTGTGATTGGCTTTTTAATGTATTATAAGCCCTCCACTGGCTGGTTAAATCATCTGTTAAAATTCTCAGATTCTGTAACCAACGGCCATGATGTCTTTACCAAAAAGAATGAGTCATCCAATTCCAAAAATCTCATCCCTCAAATTTCTCCGGAAAAAAAGGAGAAAAACAAGACAGTCATTCTTGTCTGGCTCCTGCCCTTTGGAAGCAACCGAGAAATGGACATCTGTAGCTCTGCCTTTAACATTGAGGGCTGTTTCATTACAGCAGACAAAAAGCTCTACAACAAATCACATGGAGTCTTTTTCCACCACAGAGACATTCATAGGGACCTGTCCAACTTGCCAAAGTCACCACGGCCACTGTTTCAGAGATGGATTTGGATGAACATGGAGTCCCCAACGAACTCACCCAAGCTGCCTGGAATTAACAACTTGTTCAACCTGACTGTCAATTACCACCAAGATTCTACTGTCCAAGTGCCTTACGGATCTATTATACCAGTAGAACCTCAAGAAAACTTTGTACTACCAAACAAAAACAAACTAGTCTGTTGGATTGTTAGTAACTGGAACCCCAATTATGCAAGGGTGAAATATTACAGAGAATTACAAAAGCACATTAAGATTGATGTATACGGCCGAGCCTTTGGAAAATACATCGGCAAGCAAGATTTCCACCCTACTATATCTAGCTGTAAATTCTATTTGTCCTTTGAAAACTCAGTCCACAAGGACTACATCACTGAAAAGCTGTACAACCCCCTGTCTTTGGGCACAGTGCCAGTGGTTCTTGGCACAACCAGACAGAACTATGAGAACTTTGTTCAAGGAGATGCCTTTATCCATGTGGATGATTTCAAATCACCCAAAGAGCTGGCCGATTACCTGCATCTCCTGGACAAGAACCAGGAACTGTACCTTGCATACTTTAAATGGAGAAAGCACTTTAAAGTCCAAAGACACACTTTTTGGACAGAACATGCATGCAAGGCTTGTGAATACATAAGAAAACATAAAGAATACAGGGTAATAAATGACCTCATTAAGTGGTACTGGGGCTAATGGCCCTTAGATGGAATTTTCAACACTCTTTACCTTTTGAGAAAGTGGTACTCAGGACACAAACAATATGTTGCTCTTGAGGACAAATGTTCTATTGAAAATGTGATATTACAATATGTTACAATATTAATAATATTAAAACATAGCAATCCAGTTGAAAACGTTATCATCTAGCCAGAGTCCAAGGTAAAATATGAAGGTAGTTTAACACAACTGAGATTTCTGCTGCTGATTCTAATATGTCTAACAATATGAAGAAATTTTGAAGCCACTGCAATAATTAATTACATACAATGTAACCATGGAAGCCCTGTCATAAGACAGTTGCTACCTGATCAAGTTATGAATTGGATTTTATTCGGAGTCGACAAAGGAAAGAAAAAATGTAGAAAAAAAAAAAAACTTTTTCCTTTAGAGTTTCTTTTGGGTTTCTCTCCATTGCTTTTCCTATATATATATATATATATATATATATATATATATATATATATATACCAAATTTGTAAAAAAAAAAAAAAAAACATTTTGCATTAAGGGAAAAAAAATAGTTTACGTCCATCAACATTCTCTATCCAGAACAAGTGGAAAAGTTTTAGTTT